TCAGTGGTTAAGTTGTATTTACAACACTGTTCCAGAACAGTTCAACCCAAATATTCAGATGTGTCCAGCACATTTTATGGAGGACTGTTTCCTGATCCTGGGAGAGTAGACTACAATGCCGGCTGTTCTGACTCACAAATTGTAAGTACGTTTTTTTTATATTTAAAGAATTTGCCACTGATGATTCAAACGTGAGTTTTGGGCAGTGTAGAGTAGCGCTTGTTGTTTGTCATTTCTCCGATCACAAATGCAGACATGGTTTTATGTTACGCTCCGGCCTGACGGCATCACAGTATGGTAAGGGGCGTAAAATTTCCATCACACGCTTGAGGTATTCGGCCAATCACAACGCACTAGATAGCTGGCCAATCAGAGCACACCTCGCTTTTCAGACCGATGAGCTTTGTAAAAATCGACGCATTTCAGAAAGGCGGGGCATAGAGGAGAAACAATGTACAGTATGTGGAAAATAATGTGTAAACACATTTCATTACACCAAATACACAAAATAATGTTTAGCAACATCATATGACCCCTTTAACATGAAAACCAAATTTTACAAAAATAATCTGATTCTGATCTTATTTTTTGGAAGACTCTTGGCAATGTGATGACTCGTACATCATTACTCTAGCAATTAGTGTCTAAGAAAAAGAACTGAAAAATGACTGTGTGGTCATTTCTAAAGGTCCGATATGGAAACCAAATCAAATCTGTGTGCGAGAACAAAGCCTTAGATTTGTTGCAGATCTTTTTTTAAATCTCTCCCTCAAATTATTCCATTTATGACCGCCTTCCCAGGATGCTACTTAAAGGGGTAGTTCACCCAAAAATGAAAATTCTGTCATTATTTACTCACCCTCATGTCATTCCAAACCCGTAAGACCTCCGTTCATCTTCGGAACACAAATTAAGATATTTTTGAAGGAATCTGAGAGCTCTCTGACCGTCCCCATAGACAGCAAGGGTTCTTACATGATCAAGGTCCAGAAACGTAGCAAGGAGATCGGTAAAATAATCCATGTGACATCAGGGGTTCAACCGTGATTTAACAAAGCTACGAGAATACTTTTTGTGCTCAAAAGAAAAAAAAAAGAACGACTTTATTCAACAATTTGTTTCCTCGCTGTTTACGCTTTGATTTGAACGAAAACGTGTCCACATGGCGCAGCTGACACAAAATAGCGTATGCAATTTACATTCAGTGGATACTCTCCAAAATGGCGCTAGGGTGACGCAGAGGAGACGAATTGTTGAATAAAGTCGTTATTTTTTACTTGCACAAAAGTATTCTCGTAGCTTTGTAAAATCACGGTTGAACTCCTGATCATGTAAGAACCCTTGCTGTCTATGGGGACGGTCAGAGAGCTCTCAGATTCCTTCAAAAATATCTTAATTTGTGTTCCGAAGATGAACGGAGGTCTTACGGGTTTGGAACGACATGAGGGTGAGTAAATAATGACAGAATTTTCATTTTTGGGTGAACTATCCCTTTAAGGCCTGTTTTTGTTTTAATTCTGTGTATTGGTGTCAGCACATTTTTATGAAAGTTTTTAAATTCCAATTTTATAATTGTTGTTAGAGGGCAGGACCCTCGAGTTTAATTCATGGTGACTGTAGCCCGATTGAATAGTTTGTCGTATGATTACTTGAACTGAGGACATAGGTTCATAGCAGGTGGTAATTTGAGTGTTAGATGTACACCATTTTGTTCAGTTGCACTTTACTGTCAAAAATGTTAAATGTATAATAGTATATTTAAATGTAACACTACAATTCAGCAAATGTATGTTTTGCATTTAAACCATTGGAACATGTACAGTTATTGCTTGAATGTTTGAAATTTGTGGTATGTTGTTCCTACATATATAGTTGTATATAAGTCATAATAAATACAGGCAAATAATCTGTCTTTATTGAACTGCTTCGAGGTAATCACCCAAACATCCATGAATCCATCCATGTTCACTCATTCTCAGCCACTACTGTCACCTTTACTATGTTCATAAAAATTAAGGAAAATATATTACTTTAATTTACGATCTTGATTGCTTTTCTTCATAACATCAAAACAGGAACGACCAACAGAAGTTATTCAACAACAACTTTTAAGGTGTGTTTTTTGGTTCATAGACACCACCCATCGGTAAGAAGATATCAAAACAATATACAACCTAACTTTATGAACTGAATCCTGAATATCAAAGAACCCTAAAAAAAAATGTATCGCAGTGTGCACAATAAAAATAAGCAGGACAACTCTTTTCAACATTGATAATACTAAGAAATCTCAAATTTCTTGAGCACCAAATCACCATGCTAGATTGATTTCTGAAGGATCATGTCACAGTAAAGATCATGTCTGGGTTAATTATGCTGAAAATATGAGCTTTTAGCTTGGCCATCACAGGAATAAATTACACTTCAGTATAAATTAAAATAGTTGTATTTTTTATTTATTGTATTTTTGATTAAATTAATTGCAGCCTGAGTGAGCAGATGATAATTATTTAATCATTAATTAATTATTTCATCCTTATTACAACCCTGTAGAGCTGCATTAAAAAGGAAAAAAATAAGGGGGAAACGTGTATCCCCAATCAACCTTCAGAAAAAAAGAAGATCAAACTGTTTAAAGTATGAGAACAGCAAACACAATTGCTGATAAACTAATGATGTTGGTCTGGCGGCTGGTGGGGAGACCGAGAAGCCCCCATGCAGGTCAAAACAGCTCATCTTCATTGAATGGAAGAA